TGTGACATACCATGGCCAGTGAGACAACTACAAATGTGATGGAAGCAGATGCTTGAAAAGTGCTTGCACACTGGGACTTGCCTTCTCTGGTTATTCTTTTTTTTTTTTTCTTTTTTGTCCTTTTTGAGACCAGCCGCACCACACTCAGCCAGTGAGTGCACCGGCCATCCCTATATAGGATCCGAACCCGCGGCGGGAGCGCTGCTGCGCTCCCAGTGCCGCACTCTCTCAAGTGCGCCACGGGCTCGGCCCTCTGGTTATTCTTTAGAATATGAAGGAGATGCTGGGACAGATCTGGGATAAGACTGAGGCTCCTGGCTCCAATCTTTGGAGACTTCAGATTTTCTGGATCAAGACTACATTCTATGGACTTGTAAGAAGACAGGAAATGTGAAGTGACTACCATGTGAAGAATCTCAGGTGAGTCTACTAAGTGATGAGACACACGGCCCAGGCAGCTTTGTCACCAAACCGCTAACACGAATCAATAGCAGCACAAGTTTCCAGACCTTTAAGAGAGGCCACTTTAGATCATCATGTCACCAGTTGCCCAGACAGAAACTACAGGTACATGTGACAGGCCAGCAGGAGGAAGACATGCTGGGCTAGACCAGAAGAATTGCCCAGCTGAATGACAGAATCATGAGTTAAGTAAAATGTTTTGGGGGTGGTTTGCTGTGTGGCAAAAGTTAATTAATGCAGGAAAGGACAAGTAAAATGGAAGCTAAAGTTGGGAATATGGTTGAATTGAAGGAAAGTTCAGTTCCAAGGGAATGGTGACATAGAATATGTCTTAAAGACAAAATCATAGGTACAAAGCTTTTTGGAGAGACCGCATGCACAATCACAGTAGGGAACACTGAGTCTGATCCCTCCTTCCTCCTCCACCTTCATGTCCCCAACTCTATGGACACTCAGTGTCACAAGAAATGCTTTGATAATCACTTTCACAGAATGTGAAATGTTAAGGAAGGAGTTTAAACATCAACTATTCTGATTCTTCTATTTAATGGGAAGCTAAGTTCAACAAGACAAGTTAACTTGCCCATTTCACCCACAAAGTTTAGCTTGTATTTGCTTTGTTTTCAATGAAACAAATATAGTTCCTGGCCATTTTTGAAAATGCTTTTGTACGCTGTGCTTGGTTTCCTTTTCATCCCCGTGTCGCCTGATATGGTCTCAGGATGGGTGGAGCTGTAGCAGGCAGCTCAGCAGCAAGGAGACCATACGACTTCCACAGTCAGTATACCCATAATGTTGGGCTTGGAAAGACACCATTTCCTTATTCCTGGGGGAAAAATGAGCCAGATGTGGAGGATACATCAGCTGCAGCAAAGCTACTGGCCATGAAGAGACATGAGAGAACCAAAGAGAAAAATAAAGAAGAGTGGGAAGAAAAATGATGGTTCTATCGGGCAGCAATGGTTTGATCTTTTTTCCCTTGAAAGAAAATTTTGGGGATATTAGTTTTATCATCTCTTTTTCATTCTTAAACCCTTAGCCTCTAAGGACCAGCTGGGGTGCAGACCCGAGGGGACCTAGCGGGGTCCCATCAGGTGTATGGTGGTAGGACTTGCGTAAGGCCAAGGAAGCTCTGGTACAGTTTCCATTCTTACTTTCTACCTTCTCTTCCTTATGACCTACGCTCCAGCTTTACTGGCTTTCCTCGTCTCTTTCATACCTCATGCTTTTGTGCCACTATTTCTCTTACCCCGAAGTAGACTTTTCCTGCTTTCCTGCCTGGTGAGATGCTATGATCTTTAAGCTCAGACTCACTGAAGCCTCCCCTGATTCCTCCAGGCTGAGTTTTTTGTTTTTTCCTACAGTTTCTGAACTGTGGCTCACATGCTTGCAACACTAATTCTGCTTCAGGAGTGATATTGTCATCTGGTGTTGCCAGAAAGTCTCAACCTTTAAAGGGTTGTATTAAATTTCTTTCCAGGACCTGGAGTTAGGTTACCTGACAAAGTTCTTTTATACCTTTTATACCTCCAAACCTTTGGGTGAGTTTTAGTGTGGCTTTACTGAAGAAACAGGCAGTTTTGCAGCTAGCCTTGAAGATTGCTCTGTGATATCATTAGGGAAAAGGAAATGCAAAACAGAGGATTGTGCATTTAGAAATATGCAGGATTAAGCTAGCTCTTTGAAACAGTGTTAGCTGTCTATTGGGACTCACTTTCTTGGTGGCTTGTTTTTGGAGGGGATAGCATGTATGTTTAATAACAATAAACCTTTTCATCAACAGCTGCCCCAGGCTGGCCCGTGGCTCACTCGGTAGAGTGCAGTGCTGATAACACCAAGGCCACGGGTTCGGATCCTATATAGGGATGGCCAGTTTGCTCACTGGCTGAGCGTGGTGCTGACAACACCAAGCCAAGGGTTGAGATCCCCTTACCCGTCATCTTTAAAATAAACCAACCAACCAACCAACAAACAAACAGCTGCCCCAAACCTGGTAGACTAATATAGTTCACAAATTCATCAATGTAACTAGCCTGATAGGCTACCAAGTGTGTTACTGCCTACCTGATGTGACTGAAAGGGTATTGCTTTTCAACTGAACTGCCTTTAGATAGGAGGCACTTGCTTTTGGAATACCAATCAGGTGCTTTCTATGGGAGATGCATATTGCTATCAGCTCAGTTTTGCCTTTTCAACTCCCCAATCCATTCCTAATCAGTATGAAATACACTTTTTTCCTAAAAGGTGCAATAAAATGCAATTGGGAAGAAATCTTAAAAATTTCAAATGTAAAGAAGTTGTTTTTGTAAGACATGTAGTAAGGCACCATTAATTAGAACCTTACCAAATGATATTTTGTCCTAAATTTCATTTTTACACTTGCTATAAAACAAAGGTGTGCTATAAAAATTGATGCACAGATGCAAAGGGGCTTGCATAACCTACTTAAGAGGACAGACTGTTTTGAAATACTTGAGTAATACTACTTTGGGAAAAAAAAAAAACCAAAACAATATGCCAATTAAGAGGCTTTTATTCAGTAAAGCAGGTACCATTGGATATTTTCAAATATACTATTAGTTTAGTTTGGGACTTTGTTTACTTGGTAATAATTGCAATAAATTTGTTTTAAAATATTCTATATTCTCACCTTGTTAGCCTGAATTGCTAAGATTTTGCTGTATTTAGTCATTTTTAGGGGAAATGTTTTCCTCAAAGTTTTTTATTTTCTTTAGATTGTAGACTATTCTCCTTAGTGGAAAATGGCTGCTGAGTGTGCAGAAAGAGGACAAAAGACTTCAGCCGGAAGACACTATAATCATTTGAAACTCTCCTTTCCTGGAAAATTCTCAAATTAAGGCTTATGAAGGCAATACGATATAGCACACAGCTAATTAGACAAAGCAAAAGCTTATTGGCAGTGCTGGGATTTGGACTTCACTTGTCCTTGGTTGCCACCTTCCCTTAGCAGCAACATGTCTCAGTGTCCCAGATGATGCTCTGCAAATGTCCTTGAGGGCCCTTGAACCAGGTGCTCCACCCCAGGCAGCACTTTCACAAGGCTCCATCAGCCTTGTAAATAGGAACTGGCCTGCCAATTAACGACTATTCTCACTGGTCCATCAAGATAAAAGGTACCAAATCTAAGGTCAGATGGGATTATGAGGGGGTTTACAAGTCTTTGCTTTAACATACATTAACTAAGGACCGAAATGTCTTAGATTCTCTTATAGTACATTGCAGTTAGTAAGAAAAGTTAGTCCCTTAATCAATTGAGGGTTTATGTGTGTTTCAGGCAGGTAGGTGATGGACCTGGAATTTGGGGATGTCCATCTATGGGTTTGTATGTCTCTTTTATCTTTTGTCTTTTTGGGATCTCTCCCTTTCTTGGGCTACTCGTATACTTATAATCGGAATTATTTGACTTCCAGAATGGTGTAGTTTCAGCTTTATGGTCCAGCAGAAACTTCACCATTGCTTAAACAGTTTTTCTGTTTGCAGCTAGAACCATTTCACAAAGCCATATGGTGCCACCAAGCCTCGGGAAAGAATGCAAGGTGGTCGTGATGTAAAAGAAGTAACTTATTAAAGAGATTCCTAGTGGAGCTATTGTAATGAGCTGAAGATTTCTCTAGAGGTCCGTTGCTTGTCTGATGACAACAGGAGACATTTTTTTGAACCAGGAGGTTTAGAATCTCCAGGAGAGTTATGCTATTAAGTCATAGCACTTTTGTTTCTCTGCCTAGTTTGATCAGCAGTGGCTGTGATATTTTTTCAGTGAAATGAAACCTGCCACCCAAAAAGTCCTTCCAGGCTAGGCCTCTTGCTTTGGGTCTCTATGGGGAGGCTTCACAATTTAAAACAATTCTCAAAATTTTAGGAAGTGAAAGAACTGGAAATTACAGTGCTTTTTAAAAAATTAATTTTGATGAAGAAATAGTATCTTATTTAGCTAAAAGTAACAAAATTTAAAAGTTGGCATAAGTGAAACAATCTTAGAATAAACTCTGATATACACTATTAGTAGCAGCAGGAAAAGGTTAAGAGAAGTTTCAATTCATTAACCTTTTTTTTTTTTTTTTTTTTGGTACTCCTCTGGGAAAAAGACTGCCATTTTTCAATTGTATCAGTGGAAACCTAGGCTGAGTTTTTGAAACATCAGTGTTCCAACGGGGCAGAATTTGACAGTCATTGGTATAAAACCATATTACCTGTGTAGGGCTCTAGGAATACTTTCATAAAATTAATGATTATTATTTTTTCCTTGAATGTAGTAAAGAGTTTGCTCTGATTACTAGCTGAGGGTTGAGGCACAGGGAAATTTACCAGGTTCCTCAAACAGACTTCATTCCTGGCTTAGGGGAAAAGTGACTGACATTTAGACCTGAGATTCTTACTCCAGAGGTTCTGCACAGGGAGTGAGAAGCCGGCCTCCAGTGTGTGTTAGTGTCATGCCTGTTTCATGCTGAGAGAACAGCATCACTGCTAATTCAGACAGCAGCAATGATTACCAAGGCTGTGTCATGAGAAGCAATATTTACTGACACGGGAGGGGAAAGGGCTATTTATTGAGAAAAGTTCTCCATCAAATCATTGGACAGTATAAACAAACTCGTGGAGAAAATCAACAGTTATTACAATCAAAGGGGAATCCACTGTAATTTGCTGATTTCTCTAGGCACTCTCAACATGATGTTGAACAAAACTCTCTCAAATATCTTCCACGGGATGAGCAACTGTGATTGTGAAAAATCCATCTTTTTTTTTGCTGTTGTTGATACTTCTTTCCACATTTTTCTAAATTATATTTAAGCATAATACAGTGTATCTGATGTTAGTGAGGCACCCAATTTAACATTAATTTCTCTGGATGGAAATATGAGCCATATGTTTATGTTAGTAATAGCAACACTAAGCAATTTGATCATTTCTGAGCAGACTGATATATTTTCATCTAAAAGAGAGTTCTGAGCTTCTATTCATTTTTGAAGCATCAGCAGCTTTCAGTAAAGAGACCACACAAGTTTTCTAATCTTATTTTATTTAATTTCTCTACTGGTTTGACTCTGATTAGAGGTTCAAATAAAACTGAGATTCTTCTATATCTTGATTCCTTGTCTCTCTCCTAACAAGGCAGCAACTGCCAGTCAATTACGTGTTACGAAGTTGTAGCAGAGCAGCACCTAGGGTTCTTTGAGGCGGCTTTTATACTCGATTTCCAGATGGTTGAGACTTTTTTTTTAATATACTCAACCTCACTTCATAAATACATTTTCACAAGGGTATAGAAATCCAGTGGAGAAGCACATCTTTCCAAGTGCTCTCATGTGCACAGAAATGGCTTCCATTTTGGAAACCAGCAGGGGGCCCATAAAACAAAATGAGTAAAAAAAAAAAAAAAAAAATTCACAGAGTAATTTTTTAATCCATTCCATTTTTAAATACCACAATAAATTTAATTTTCACAATAAATTAAATAGCCATATTCAGTTTACAAAATAGAATTACTTAGTGTGAAACCAGTATTTATAACAATATACACTTTGTACACAACATTTCTTTTTGTTGACATAAAACATGGAAGTAAAAGGACTTGACTTTCCAATGTGTGATTGACATGCTACAAGTGACACCATGGTCCATACGAGAAAACAATAGTGCAAAGTCAGCACAGGAACTTTGGAACAATGTCAATTTTATGAAAAAAGACATTCTTTAAAATAATAAGAAAATAGCATTTTCTGTTTTCATGGCACCAATTCAGGATCTGAATTAAAGAGCCAGCTTTCCTTTAGGAAAAAAAAAAATGCATAAGTGAATCCTCTACTTCCTGAAGCTTCACAGCTATTGGTACATTTTCACACATTCATCTTTTGGCTTAAATCTATGAAAATGGCGGGTGACAAATTTTGAATCAGAGGAAGACTAACTCTTTGAGAATAGCTGCAGTCAATTTTCCCCAGTACCAACAACCCTTTTTTGTAAATAGCTTAAGAGATGCAACTAAGCAGACAGCAATTGTTTTCTTGTAAATTTTCACTAGAAAAAGAACTGATCTTATATTTGGTCACACACTGAGTATGTACAAGTATACATGGAAAAATGACTTGGATAGCTGTGTCTAGGAAAAGTGCATATTTTAATCTAGAGGAGGCATTGTGTGTCTCCAGGCACAACACATAGTGTTGTATGACATATTATTTTAGGGCCAGTTCAATGTTCTCCCAGTGATCTGGTAAAATTTTTGATTGAAAGGGTGAAAGAATTTGCGCAATTTGGTAATGACAGAGGGGTCCACCTCTGGATGAATGCGGCCCTTGCTGCCCGCCAGGCACTTATTAAAGATAATGTTAAATCGCAAGCAGTAAAACCCTCTGGTAGCATTGAAATATAAATTGTATTGACTTATTCTTGGAGGAAGATTTAGGAACTTCTCCACGAGCTGAAGTTCTGGCAGAGGTTCCGTGATGAGGCGATCTCCATCGACAACGTGAAATTGCTCAATTGGAAAGTACTTCAACCACCTTTCCAGATGTTTGGTATAGATGCTGGTTCTTACTGCCTTGTATTTTGTGTTCACTTCACAGGTATTAGGGTCTATGGCCAGTTTCTCAAACTTGTAGTAAGTTTTGTTCTTCCTCTCCTTCCCCTCTAGCACCTGAGTATAATCAGAAATAGCTCTTGTGGTTGGTTCCCTGACAATGATCAACAACTTGATGGATGAGTTCATTTTGTAAATCCTTTCTGGAACCTCCTCTGTGATAAAATATGCTGGGCTTTTTTCAATTGTGATTTGCTGAGGGTAGGAAAAAGGCATCTTTTTCCTATACCACTCAATGCCCTTGGCATAATTCTCATCATTGTCAAAAAAGTGGATTTCTTGAGAAGCTTTGACCACTGCTGGATGGAGGTTCAGCATCTCAAGCAGGGCCCTCGTGCCTCCTTTCCTCACCCCGATGATAATGGCCTTGGGGAGCTGCTGGACCAGGTCATGGAGACGAACCTGCTCTTTGGAAGCGTTGCCCTTCCGGAACTCGTGCAGCAGGCCACGCTTAAACTGCAGGGCGCGGAGTGGGAATTCAGCCTGACTGCGGGTTCCACCAAATCGGCCTTCGATGGGGCAAATGGGTTGTAGCCTGCAAGCAACAGACAGACACTTGAAGGAGCTCATTGCAACTAAATTCTCACTTTTCCGGTTCCCCAATCAGACTGACTTTAAATGCATAAGTAAAACCACTGGTTCCCAGCCTGCTGCAATCCATAATGAACATATGTGTGGGAAATTTATTTTAAGCCACCCTGTATTATATGGAGCACACATAATTGATGGCATTTTTTTATTAGTGCTCCTTAAAATTTTTATTCACCAAGCACTTAATTGACTACGGCATGTACTTATGTTCACAGCACAGGATAGACAAGTGACACCAGCCATACTAATAGTTTTTTAACAGCTCACCAGTTAAAATCATTTAGAAAATGTGAAAGGCAGGGGATTATAATCTTCAGCTGGGAGGCTGAAGGGCAGCTAGAAGGCCATGTGTTTCCAGTTTCACATATTATTTTCTTACAGCTCAGCAGCATTCATATAGCTCTTTAAAATCTTTGAGATGTAATCTAAAAAGGGGTCTCAATCTCTGCCCTCAGCTATTTGCATCATCAGCCTGCAAAATTCTGATCTTGGCACTTGCTGAGCTTTTCATTCTATGAAAATTTTTGCCCTTGGCCTTGGGGATAGCTAGAAGAGTACTATAATTCTCCTTCCTCTTTCTCTTTCTGTCTAATGAGGTCAGGATTATGTTCTCACTTTGCTGAATGTAGGAACAAACCCAATTGCCATCAGCAAGGACTGTATATCATCTACCACACCTGGCACCAGAAATCACCAAGGTCTTGATGGGGCCAGAAACCTCAGGTTCTCATTGCCAAGCCCATTTAAATCAGGGACTTGAGCTCATAAAAGAAGGAATGCAATTGATGGAGACAGAAAGGAGAACTTCCACTTCCTGAATATTATTATTAATATTATCCGGAATAATGAACAACCACCTCTGCTCATCTCAGAGAGAAAGATGTGGTAAGAGTCATAATGATATCAGATTGGTGACTATTTAATTTGGCCTGGCCAATATACATGGTAGAAAATTGAGTTTCCTTTTTGGTATAGTCTGAAACTCAATTGAAACTCATTATAATTTCCTTAAATTGATCTGGGAAGGCATTTAGCCTTCTTGGTAAAAGAGGATAATATTAGTCAAAATAGCTGTTAAACCAATTTCTCCAACTGGAAATTTCCAGTTATGTTAATAATTTGGAGTCAGTGTCTCCCTCTCTGTGGCAATGAGGCTGTCACATGCTTCTTTCAAGGTACCTTACTGCATCTTTTTTGTCTTCTGAGAGAAAAAAAAGATGCAGTAAGGTACCTTGAAAGAAGGTACCACCTCCAGGTCATGCCCAGCCTATTCTGCAGAACTAAGGGGAATGGTCTTAGTCTGTTTAAACAGCTATCACAATGCTTAAGGAAAAATATAAACACATATTACTTTTTGTGGTGTTTGTTCTTTCATAATGTTTAAAACTCATGCTTATTGCGGAAAATATGAAAATATAGAAACTATTTTTAAAAATAGGGTTTACCACACTTAATATTTTAGAGAAACATGAATTTTGGTTTTATCAATTTGTTAGTGGGATTAATATGCTAGGGCTCTACATGGAAGATATAAAATTATCATTAGATACATAGCCAAAGATGTTTTCTTCCTTTTTTTTTCCAAAGATTTTTTCAATTGTGACATTGATTGGGATAACACAAAATCATCTTTCAGCTCTTCTTGGATTCTGGTTAAGAATTAAACCCTAATTGCCTAAGGCACAAATTGATAAACTTCTCTCCTAAGCATCTAGAATGATGCTAGTACCATCCTTAGAAGAACTGAGGAAATAGTCACTTGAATCCTTTTCTGTAGGACTTAACTCTCTCTCAGAACCCTGGCTGCCAGGGCTAGCCCGTGGCTCACTTGGAAGAGTGTGGTGCTTATAACACCAAGGCCACGGGTTCGGATCCCTATTATAGGGATGGCTGGTTAGCTCACTTGGGAGAGTGTGGTGCTGACAACATCAAGTCAAGGGTTAAGATTCCCTTACCGGTCATCTTTTAAAACAAAACAAAAAAACCCTGGCTGCCAGAGGGTGACATGGATAGTCTGTCTGTGCCCTGTTTGAGCTGAAATGGAATTTCCCTACCTCTAGAAAGGGCCATTTTCCCCCTTCATTTCTTTCCTCTTTCTACCTTCTACTCTAGGAGATCATACCCTGCAGAACGATTGCTTTTTGGACTCCGTAACTCAAGATAGAATGTGAGGATAGAAGAAAATATCACATTATTCCCCACTTCCTGAAGAGTTGGTTCTGGGCAGGGGCCCCAGACTAAAAACAGAATTTTAGTATTGGAAGGGACAGTAGAAGTAACTTCAGCCTCCCTCCTAGAGAGCAGGTCTTCAGTAACTAAACGATGGGCTGAAGTAAGCACCAGACAATTTCAAACACAGTCTGCTCAAACTCTAATGTGAGAGGTTTTGAGAGAGCCCACCAAGCAATCTAATTTCTTATAAAAGCTATCCCATTAGAGATGGGGTTAAAAATGAAAAGAATCATCAGCTAAATAACTAATGTGTTAATGATCATCAGATCAATTACTAAATAAAAAGTAAATGATTGGAAGCTAATTAGAGGTATTGGGAAGAACTTGACATAAAAGTTCCATTTTGGACACAGGACAGTGGTACCACTTCAAGTTTTTTCTGCTAATAACTAAGTGCTACTTTAGGAAACTACTTAAGGTCAGTGATAAGCTCTCCAATACACTTTTCCCATTGGTCACAACTAACTAGTGAGTGGGAAGTTTACTGAGGAATTTTGAATTGAAAAGCATCAAAGGGGTTCACTTTACCAGTCAAAATTGACATTGACCAAAGGAAAACAAAGACCATTGCTATAGTATTTTAAAATACCCTGGTAATGTCCGTAGATTAGTTTAAGTTTCGGAAGGAAAAGGAAAACTGAAAGGAAGATATTTTCATTTAAAGTGTAGCTGCATGTTTACTGACAATAGGAATTAAATGCTTGCAGAACATACTTCATTCTTTCCAGTGCAATAATTAATTTTAAAGGGCAATGAAAGAACCTTCATATTTCAGAAATTAACTTCTCTGTCCTTGCCAATCATGCTGGATTCAGAACAGTCCAGAAGCATTTAATGTGAAGCCGGCTCATATTGCTGGGACTTCTGCAGGTCTAGTACCTCTCAACTGTTTGCCTATTTAGAGCCAAATCATAGTTCTGTAATTTCCTCTCTGCGGATTTTCCATTGCTTTCTGGGCAATTACTCTGAGAGACAGCCTCCTCGTCTGGTATGTTCAGCTCCTGAAAACCAGAGCTAATTAACATAGCTAAAACTCCCCACGCCTGCAGCCATCTTTCCAGGGCAATGGATTGCAAACTTGATGAGCTCCTTAACAGGCTCATACATAATTTTAATGCTTCTGATAGCACATTAATTGTCCACTCATAAATTTCAAAATGAAGATACATAGATATATCATCACTGTTTCGCTATGGCTGGAGGTCAACACCAGATCTATGCAGAACACATTGAGCTCTAGTAAATGGCATCTTTACTGTACACAGCTTCATCCCTTCTCTGAAAACAAGAGTCAGTGCACACAGAATACACATGGATCTTGAGGAACACCTTGGTTTGAGCAACTTGGATCTCTTTCTTTTAAAGGCTCAATAAATCAAAATCAATACTGCAGAAAAGCATGTTCCTTAGGAATTTTGAGGGAGGAAAACAATTGGATAGACTTACAATTATGTCCTAAGAAAGTTCAAATCAAGAAACACTTAACGTCACATGGGCATAAGGATATATTTAATCACCCACCTATCCAAGCTCCCAACTCTGGCAACTAGATACAGGAGACTCCCAACGGCAAGGCTTCCCAGCACCAGGAGCTTCTGTCTCAGCCACGCCTGCTGTTTGAATAGCATGGCCCTCCATCAACCTTCAGGACTGCTGCAGCCTGAGAGACAGGAGAGAAGGCACTCGTCAGCGGTCATCTCATAGGCTCTGTGGATTGTCACAAGGCCAACCAGAAGGGGGTCTAGGTGATTAAGTGATGCTGCATCAAGAACAAACCCCATAGCAACCTTGACAATTTTCATGGTGTAAAAAGTATTTAGCAAAACATACCTTTCTTTTCCTGACTCACGTTACAAGATCAAATGCTAAATCTAGGGGGAAAATACTAACTAGCCAGAACCTACCAGATAACTGTCAAAGTAAATTAAAGTGCATATATTATAACATATATAATATGTGTGTGTATAAATTGCAATTCAGTAAATAATTTTGGGCATAACAATGACATTTAACTTACATGTTTTTCGTTTTGTTTTGTTTTAGTTCTGAATGGAAGAAGGGGTTGAAATCATAGTGATTTTTTTTACTTACCAAGGTTAACAGTGATAAATACTGGGACCTCACGTGTTTGAGGACAGTGGCTCCGAGGAACCTGGTGTTTCCCTTCATGTCCTCTGCCCAGTACTGGATTCTGAAAACATATACACTAGATGCCCCTGCTATGTGACCTTTCCTGGCTCTCAATGAATTTAAGCAGGTTGGTGATATTGGTCTTGTTTTTACACCACAAAGGAAACTTACCTCGAAGCTTTGTTCTCTTAGACCTGAAAGAAGGCTGCTGTAGAGTGCAGGAATTTACTAGTGCTGTTATTAAATTTTGAAAACAAATGCAAGCACCCAATTCAGCTGTTCTTATTAAAAATAAACCCAATCTACCTTTCAAGATAAGATTGTTTGCTTCTTATTGAAACTCAAAATAGAAACCCAAGGAGAGGGAAGCTATAGCAAGCCCATAGTTTGAAACCGTTTTGCTGCAATAGTATCTCCATATTTGCCCTGTGGAGATTTTCCGTGTACAAAAGGTTAAACTATTATTGATTGATCTATTCGTTCATTCATCAAGAAATTGCTGAGCACCCATAGCATTTTCATCTATTATACTAGGCTCATGGGAGAATCCAAAAAGATGTTGAAAGAGTTTTACCCCTTTGAAAACTGATAATGTAATTAGGGAATCATGAAACAACCTAAGAACACAACAGAATTTATGACCATGTATGAATAAATGTTGGGGAAAGAAAATCAAGGAAAAGGTGAGAGAATGTGTATTCCACGGGAATGCTTTTTTTTTTGTAGAATGTAGTACATAAATTGGTGAGGAGGCTGTCAGAGGGCATCTTAAGAGGGAGAGATAAGAAGAGCATTTATACAGCACACGGTCAACAAATACTTATGGAAAATGCCTTAGGTGCCAGATTCTATGTTGGGTGCTACGGAGAATAGTGGTCAACTAAGCAGACATGGTTCCTGACCTGCCCATGGGAGTTCACAGTCTAGAGGAGATGATAGACATTAAGCCAATAAACCTATATATAGGATTAACATGTACTTAGAAATTGTAATAAACATGAGCCAGTAAATCCTATGTATAGGATGGATATACACTTACAAATTGTAAAATTGACAAAGGAAAATTACAGGATGCCCCAAGAAAGAGTAACAGGAGGAACCTCCTTTGGTCCTTCCTGAAGAAGTGACACCTGGGCCAACACTAGAAGGAGGAGGAGCAAGGAGACAGGAGCAGGGCAAGGTGGGTATGGGGCAGAGGAACCAGCATGCACAAAGGGACTGAGGAGGGGAAATGCTTGGCTAGTTTGAGAAGCGAGGAAGGCAGGTGTGGCTGAACACAGGGATTGAGGGGGAGAGAGAAAAGGCTAAGGGCAAAAGCAAAGAAGGGTCAATAAGAAGGGTATTTGCAGGAGACTGGGTGAGCCTGTGCCTTTTACTTAGCAGGGTCGCCTTCTGTGTAGGTAAAATGGGAAAGAGAAAGGGGAGAGAAAGCGAGGTTTACTGAGGCCTACTGTGTGGCAAGGACATGGTCCAGCTGGTATTTCAGGAAATTCTCAGAAAAGCCCTGTGAAGTAGATGCAGTTATTTCTATTCCCTTGACAGGTAAAGTGAAGCTCACAGTTTTTTTCTCACTGCCTGTGATCACACAACTGTCAGGTAAAGGCAGTAACCTATATAATGTGAACAGAGCTTCAGAGAGAGAATCAATCTATCTCCAGGCTGATGTCCCAAGTCCTCAGTTAGAGTCACATGCCTTGAGCAGAGGGCTCTGATCCCTGTTGAATTGCAAATACTGCAGCAAGATACAAACAGACAGGAGAAAAGAAAATGGCATTCAGGTCTCCCAATTAAATGTTCCTCTTAGTAGTGCTGTGATCTTGAGGTTGGATTCTCTGGGCCTTTCTCTCCTTATGCATAAGATGAGGACAGTCTCCGGCACCCCTGCTCCACAGTGCTGAAGGAGTTAAATAAGGATTCTACAAGTGACATCACTATACAGAGGTTTATTAGCTTACTAGACTAATGTAAAGGATTATGTGTCATCTGTATCTTGGAGCGAATGAATTGAATGTGCATTCACAGACAAGGAGTGTGAGAGAATAAGCTCTTCTGTGGCTGAGGAGGGCCAGCTATAAATGGAGAAATGGGTATAAAATAAAGGTAAAATGTGCTTGCCCCATGGTCTTAACAAAGGTACCCATCTCATACAGAGGACCAACTCAGAGGGAGGCTGGGGAAGTTATCTGGCCTCCTCTGCTATTTAAATGTAGTGCCCACACCTTTTTGCTCAAAACTATACTGCACGATGCTTCCTCCACTTTCACCAGCTCATTGGTCCATCTGTCAGTCTACAGTCCCCCCCACTCTTTAAGACCTGGGCTACATCATAGTCACTCTATGAAATCTTCTCCAGCTGATGCTCCAGTTCACAGCCATCCCCCACCTGCATTGAACTCTTGTTCTTGCAGTCAGAACCACAGTCAGGCATTTCATTAAGAGTTTGAGGAGTGTTAGCTGCTGCCTTCTGTGTGTATTACCACCATCTCCATGCAATGGGCTAATACTACTGACTGACTGACTCTGAAGTACTGAAAGGTACTGAGCCCAGAATCTGTCAGCTTTGCTACATTGGCCAGGGGTTCTCTATGGCAAGTTTGCAGAGCCTTTAGAAAATACACACCTGGTACTACCCTCAGAGATTGCAATTCAATGGGCCTACATCAGTCTTGCATTTATAATACCAGAATAAAGTCACCAAACTTAATATTGTTTTCTACTGTCTTTTTCTCTTTGGTCACGAAGTTCAGTGAACTATTTCTCCTAATTTCTTCTTGCCTTGTTCTGTCCAGGCACTTAGTGCCTCCCTTATTTCTTAACGTTTGGGTACGTTCTCTGTTCATCCCCTGCAGCCCTGTACCATCTGATTAATCTTGCTAATCTAAGTTATTTTGTCCCTTGTCTTTTCTCAGTTGTTCACTGGCTCAGGTCCAGTCTTTTCCGGTTGAAAGCCCAGGCCCTTCCTTCTGAGACCCCAGTGTGGGTAGTCAGCCTCTTTCTCTTTTATTTGTCACTCACACCAGCCTATGTGCCTGCCAGGTTGGCCTCTTTAATGCTCCCCATACGCCTTCACTTCACTCTCATCTCTATGCTTTTGTCAGCTTCCTCACTGGCCTCGAATGTCTTTCCTAAGTCCTCTCCTTCAAAAATCCCAGATCCTATTAAAATCTTCCTAGGAAGGGTTATCCTGGTGGATTTGGGGGAAAAAATCCCAATATGTACTTCCTATTGTTGGGTAGAAATGGGTTATGACAATTATGTAGATAATTCCAGGACCAAAGAGTAACAGCTGGACTTAGGAATAAAACTTGGAAGACATATCCATGTAGGTGATGAGTGAAGTTATGAAGTGACCTCATGGCTGAACTCTGCTCATGGTTAACAGGCAGGAACGAGAAGAGAAAAGTGACAAAGGATGTAAAAGCTACTGAGGAAGTAGTCCAAGATTTAGGATACGATCACAACAGGGCTATCAGCTGCCTCCTGCAGTGAATATGTCATCCGCTGTACATTAGGCTATTAAACCTGACTGAATACAAGGTTGTTACTTTTTCTGAGGATCTTTCAGTCTCAAAGGCCCCAACACACCACCTACAGACTCTCCCTTTATGATAAATCCAATTACTACCGTAGAGCTTTTGCTCTGTGGGATAAACTACTACTGCCAGTTCAGCTTCTCTGTGCCTGAAATGCCTTAAAAATGCCCACTGGGGTTTCATCTCTTTGGGAGACCTAATTTCTTCAGCCTTTTGTTTGCAGGGGGCAGGCCTAACTCCTTATGCTGTGTATTAGTCTGTTTCTGTTGCTTACAACAGAATACCTGAAACTGGGTAATTTATACAGGAATGAAATTTACTTCTTATGATTTTTGGAGGCTAGGAAGTTCAAGGTCCAGGGAACACATCTGGTGAGGGCTTTCTTCCTAGTGGGAACTCTCTATAGGGTCCTGTAGTGAAAAGGATGTCACATAGCGAGAATGGGCCGAGCAAGTTAACTTTCTCTATGAATGGATCAATCCATTCATGTGGGCACAGTCCTCACAGTCTAATCACCTCTTAAAGGCCTCAACTTTCAAATACCATAGTTGGATTTTCCACACTCTTGGCACTACTACAATGGGGGTCAAGCTTCCAATACATAAACTTTTGGGGACACATTCAACCCACAGCACAATGCCTCCCCTAGTTATGGCAGGCCCATTATACCCTCCAAAGCACCTTCATGTCTACTGTGAGGTTGAAGAGAACTAAAATTTTCATTTGACATCCTAACAAATATGAGTGAGTCATCCATGGTGAAGTGCAAAGGCCACTGGATTGGTAGTCAAAAGAACTTGAGTCACATTTTTTAGTTTTGTAATGGAAACATACTGACTTTTCTTTTTCTCATCTGTAAAATTAAGAGAATAGTGTCTGTCTCGCAGGGTTGTTATGACATGAGCACTGAGTAAGACACAGTAAGATAGGACTTTGTGAACATTGGGCACTTTATGAAAATGGAGCATAATTAATATCCTGAAGTGGGAGATAAATTAA